GAAATTAATCAAGTTCAATTAAGTGTAAACACAATAAATTAAGGTGAAAAGAGAACATAACCTTAATATCAATCATGAAGATATAGACCCGGTAATCGTGTCGCGTCGTGTCGTGTTCGTTTTCGTGTTGGAAATTAAACAAGTTGGGGAAGGTCAACACTAACCCGACCCATTTAATAAACTTGTCGTGTCGTGTTGACCCAATTAATTAATCGTGTCGAAAACCTTTAACATTAACTCGCTTTTTTCGTGTTCGGTTCGTGTCGTGTTGAATTGAAATATATTGTTCTTATTCAATATATTTATCAATAATTCCATAAATTTTCTTGTTAGGCGGGTTCGGACGTTCGGTCGTATTAATTTCGTGTTGAGAATCTCAACGCTAACCCAACCTGTTTAACTAAACGTGTCGTGTCGTGTTGACCCGTTTAATTAAACGTGTTGAAAACCTTTGACACTAACCTGTTTTTTTCGTGTTCGGTTTGTGTCATGTTGTCGTGCCGTGTCAATTTATTACAGCTCTATGAACTTGGACAAGTAAGCTTGTACCCTAAATTTTCTCCTCTTTATTCGACTGTAAGTTTTTTTTTTTTTTTTTTTTTTTTTTTTTTTTTTTAACAATGTATAGAATCCGATTAGATTTTCTTTTAATCATCTACCACTTCAAATATATAATCTTAATTATAAATTATGTTTTCTTCCTCGGCCTTGACATACTTAACTAATAAGACAATTTTAAGTTCATCTAATTTTTTCTAGTTTGAATTTATTTTTTCTGATCCGATTTAATTACTTGATTAGAATAAAGTTTCATCTTATGTATACGCTAATCTATGAGGATTTTTTTTTTTTTTATTTATCAATAAGGCCTTATTAAATTTTTCATTACAAAATTAAATAATAAAATAATAAGGCTGATTAAGACCTGAACTTTTTTTTGTCTTATCTAAAATAAGCAATAAGGTTTTGAAATAAAATTATAAAAATAAATAAATCTGAGTAGCTATTCCTGAATTTAAGTTATTTTATATTTAAAAATATTCTCCGTATTAATCATCTGTTATGGACTTATGGGTACGGCGATACAGATTATGTAGGGAAGACCATCGTACTTTTTGTACGACATTAATAATTGCATGCAAGCTTAAGGATAAATGTGCACGATTAGAACTAAAAAAAGAATAAAGCGCAGCTATCCAAGTAATATGCACAAAGAAACTTCTATAATTCATCAAATGCTTCAAAAATAGTATTGTGCGATTGTAAGAACGGAGGAATCATCTCTTTAAAAACACGAAATTACAAGTGCATACATTGCAATTTTGCTAGCAAAGTTACAAGGAGTATGTCGTGGAGTGCTATCCACATGGCCACAAATGCACGAGTCTTTTTTTTAACTTACCACAGTACACAATCACAGTTTACAATAAAAGAAAGTACAACTAACAACACATATTAAGACGAGATTTTAACACTTCCCCGTGAAATGAGATATATTAAAAAAAAATGATCGATCACTTGAAGAGGCCTTTAGCCTTGTCCATCAAACTCTCCTCTGGTGGTGGAGGAGCGGGTTTAACAAAGTCCCCGGCCTTGTTAAGAGCATCTCCAACGGTATTCTTGGTGTTTTCAGCCATTTCTCCGGCTGATTTGGAAATCTTAGCCGTGTCAATCTTGTCGGTCTGTTGGGTGACGGTTGTTTTCACCGTCTCCCCTGCATTCTTGGCGCCATCTATTACGTTAGTCATGGTGGTTTTTTCAGCCATTGCTTAATGTAAGAGAATATTTGGCTAAGGTTTTACGAGTGTTTTTTTTGTAGTAGAAAGTTTTGGTTGTTTTGTAGTATGTTAGACGTTGGAAATGGTTGGGGTTTTATAGGGGTTGTGTAACGAGTATAGGGGATGTATGATTGAGATATTTTTCAACAAAGTTCATATTTTGTTGGCAATATTCATTGAAGTTTTGTGGTAGAGTTGATTTTTGGGCCCATCGTCATGCAGAGTTATATCTTTACATTGCTAAAAGCTATTGCCGACATACACAATGAATATCACGACTTCACGAGTTTACAAATAAAGGGAAAATTATAATTTTGGCATTATCTTGAATTAAAATGACAAATGAGAAAATTAACGTAAGAGATAACAAATAAGTGAATGAGATTTAAACTCACAACCTTCTTGTTAATTAAGCTGACTCTTAATTTCAGGTTGAATAATCAACTCAACGAAAAGGTTAAACTAAAAAAATCACTCAATTATTACATACATTTAGACCTTTAAGTATGTGATGAGCAGTATAAAACAAAAACCTTTCAACGAAAGAAAAAAAAAAAAGATTATTTTTAAATTACCAATATGTATCCATCTTGTTTATGGAAATTTGAGTGGAAATATGTCGTTATTTGAATAGTGTGATTATTATATTCTCATTTTATATAGGGCGGGGTGAATTTATATTGTATTATTGTAGCTACAATTTGTAGGGTGTAACTTGTAAGTTTGTAACTTTTTAATTACTACACTAGATGAAATATGAGTAATTACTTTGAATATGTTTGTTTAGTCTATTCCTTTGAAGTATTGCTCCTTCCAAAGTTCCAATCTATCTTTTCATCTCTCTTTAATTTATCTCACGAAAAGTTTTCAATGAAAGAACGAAAACATTAGAGGTTGCATCATTTCATCACCTTGATGTAAAATTTCCATTGGCCAATCCACTATTAAATAATAAAGAGGAAAATGACATCTAAGATATTTAGGGATTACTAGTTTAGATCTAAGATTTTTAGGGATTACTAGTTTAGAGCTAGTAATGATGCAAGAGAATATTTTAAGATAAAAGACAACTAGACAAGGGATTATTTGGAGTGCAGTAGTGTAGTGTCAACTGTCAAATGTTGTAGTTAAACGAATAAGATTTTATAAATTCACAAACAAGTGGGCCACTGGGCCGCTCTGCTCACAGGCTCACAGCCCATTCTACTTGGATTCGCGTGCTTGAAGAGCCCAATGTATGGTTCCGCCTCACCCATCAAGTCACCATCACAATCTATTCTTGCAATTCATGATAATTGAGTTGAATTTAATTTCTTCAATCATCTACTCCATTCATTTCTTCAATTATCATAAATTATCATGATATATGAGTACCAATCTACCAAATAATTAATCATAATTAACACTACACTTTGATTTTTGTAATATTCATAAACAAAAATATAGAATATGAAGTACTAACCTTAAATACAATTATTTTTTTTGTAAAAATCAGGCGTACAATAAATATTGTATATCCATTAAAAAGTTGTCTTAAAATAATCAAAGGTTGCCCGAAAATAAATAAAAGTTACCCCAATTTAAATAAAAACTAGTATTTAGCCCGCATGATGCACGGGTTAATTTTTGGCTAATATATGTTTTTAATTATAGAATTGTACTATTGTGTCTTTGGATTTTTCTTAGTTTTAAACAAAAAAAAATCAAAACATGTTAAATATAATTTCATTTTATTAGTAAAATAAAATACTACATACAATGTAATGAAATACATTCTTTTTAAAAAATCAACGAAAAAGTCAAAAATGGATATTGGAAAGAAATTAGAAAAAAAATGAAGTGTAAAATAAAATGAGAATTAAGAAAATTTATTTTTGATTGCTCCCTTAAATTCAATACCATTGTTGTTTTTGAAGTTTATATAGATCTTGACAGTGATTTTTTTAATTATTTTTTATTTATTTAAATTACTTGAGATAAATTATAGATTTTAGGTGATAGAGAGGAATAGTAGAGGGAGGAATATAGAGAAAGAGTAAAAAAAATAAGAGAGAGGGAAGATAAACTATTAATTTTTTGGGTAATTGAAAAATATAACACTTCATATGGAGTAAAATGAAATTTTGAGGAACCAAGAGACACAAATGCAAATCGATTATTGTACTTTTGAAATGATTGGAAGCGTTCGGAGTAAAGAAGAGACTTTTTATTTTTATTTTATTTTTAATTTTTAATATTTACACTTTAATTGAAACAAAAAAAGATAGAAAAATCATAAGAGGACAAGTGCCCTTTAAACTTTCGGTTTTAATATAGTAATATAGATTACCCCATATAAGTATATTTTATTGATAAATACAAGAATATAGTGTCAATAAGATCATCATTTAAATGTATAGTTTGAAAGCCATCAATTTTTTTTATATAGATGTGTATAATACGGAGAATTTTTATAAAGCATATTAAAAGATGTTAACATACGTGCATAAAAATCAAATTAAACAAAAAGACAAATAAAAAAGTATGGAGTTGAAAAAATATGTGGATAATTGTTGAAAATGTTTGAAATGTAGTTTATAAATATCAAGTTTTTATAATTTATACTTATTTATAATTAGAGATATTGTATTAGTCACAACTTAGTTTTAACATACGTGTCAGTCAAATTGAAAAAACTTTATAAACTTATAACATCAACGCGTCATTTTTTAAAAGCCACACACTCACAAGTTATTAAGTAATTAGTTACATCATCCGTCTCAAACTAATTGTTATATTTTATAACTATTACATAATATATGAAAAATCTGTTAACAATTGTGATATAAATGCTACTCCGTACATTTTTTAATTGTACAAGTATTCTTTAAACATCAATTGTTAAAAATCTTAGTAGTGAAGTTTGTGCTTTAAAAATCATACAAGTCAAATATTACTTCTATATAACACGTATATTAAAACACATAAAGTATGATAAAGATGACGTAATAAAATAAAATAAGACAGAAGAAAACATATCCTTAGGTACATTACATCAACAAAATAAAACAATAATTTTACATACTTAGAAGCCTACAAATTTACAAGGAGTAAATTAAATAACATACAACTAACAACATATTTTTGTTTTTGACAACTATACAACCTACATCTTTTAAAACGAGATTTTCCAGAAAATCCATCCAGTATGCAATAAATAAAATAAAAATGATCAAACAATGATCACTTGAATAATCCTTTAGCCTTATTTATCAAACCTCCAACACCACCAGTAGACTCAACCTTGTTTTCATCACCTTCCGCAGCAGCAGACTCAGCCTTCTTTTCACCCTCCTCGGCTGCTACAACAGACTCGGCCTTCCTTTGACCACCCTCGGCCGCTGCTACAACAGACTCGGCGTTCTTTTGACCACCCTCGGCTGCTGCTACAACAGACTCGGCCTTCTTTTCACCACCCTCGGCTTCTGCTACAACAGCCTCGGCCTTCTTTTCACCACCCTCGGCTGCTGCTACAACAGCCTCGGCCTTCTTTTCAGCACCCTGATCAGAGGGGGAGTGCAGCTGGTGGAGGTAATCCTCAGCTTTGCCAACATAATGTCCAACATCGCTCTCTCCGTCGGGCTTCCCATAGCTCTTGGCAGCATTTATAACATCTGTAGCAGCTCCGGATACCTGAACCCTGGCACTAGCCATCAACTCAGATGGAGATTTTGTTGGGGTTTGGCTTTTAGGAGTTTCTTCTGCCATAATAAAGTTTTATTATTTAATTAACAAAGTTTTTAATTTAGATTTAGTATTTTGTAGGAAGTTTAAGGTGCATGGTATGTAGGATGTTAGAAATGGCAAGGAATTTAAAGGGGTTGAGGATATGATCATATATTATAAAATGGATGTGTAGGATTAGATACTTTCTGTTTGGGTCCAATTTAGTCCAATTGGGTTTAGGCATTAAATGATCCAATTAAAAGCCCAAGGTCAAGGTTCATCTCTCCAATTGTGCTAAAGTCAAAGATCAGTCCTCAAGGCAAGCCAATTGGGCTAAGGCCCAACTTCTCCATGTATGCGGAGGTATAAAAGTCATCAATATTACATTTGTACATTCATTCAAGCAAAGCCTCAAGCAATTAATTCTCTTGCATAGTGTTCTCTTTCTACGCACTGTACTGACTTTAGCATCGGAGGGGCCTTCCTCGGCAACACCCCCGAGGCTAGTTTACGTGTGTTTACTGTGCAGGAAACCTTCGGCCCAACATTACTTGGATCGAATCTAGTCTTCCCCACAGACGGCGCCAAATTGTTTCGGGTGAAAACAATGGGACCTTGTCGAAGAGAGATCCCTGGTTTCAGCTGCTGGACGAAGAAGCTGAAGCTGCCCGTACGGCCGAAGAGGTTGCACGGGTTATTGAAGCTTGTGAAGGAGGAGAAAAAGAGATAATTAAAAAGCCTCGGCCCGAGCCGAAGAAGCTTACCATCCTTAAACTTTCGGCTGAGGCCGACAGCTGCTAGCATGTTCTCTTGGAAAACATAATGCGTATCGGGGAGCCAAGTCTCCGGGATATGCTGCATTCGGCCGCTGCCCCCCCGGTTCGGCAGCTTGCCGAAGATATTCTGTTGATTAAGGTTTGGATCTGGGCCGTTATCTGCGGGGGGACCTAAACTTCCCATGTCGGGATCAGGCTCAGCAAGGTACCGGGGAGCGCTGAAGACGCAAGGGTGGCCCGGGTCCGTGGGTGCCCTAACCCAAATCCATTGACCTCTCCAGTCCTTGTCTGAAGAGTCGTTCGGCCACATGGTTAGGTACTGGGGCCGAGACTCAATCCGGTACCACCCAGAACCATGACTTCCGTGCCCACTTTGAATAGTTGGCACTAGCCGATGAAGCTTTTTGAAGCAGTGTAGGTTCGGCACATACCTGAAGAACTTGCAGACCCATAAGTATGTCATCACCCTTCGGATGCTAGTAGGAGTTAGCTGACATAGGGAAATATTGTAATGGATCAGCAAGTCTCGGACGAATACGTCCAAAGGGAACCTCAGCCCATACTGAAGTTGTCTTGTGTACACCCCCACATACCCCGGGGGTGGACGATGGATTCTATCGGATGCCACGGGCATTCGGCACCAGTACCCATCAGCTTCAAGGATGCCGTAATGCAACTCAATTTGTTCGGCAAACCGATACTGTTCGGCATTCTCCACCCACCATGAGTAGGGGCGGTTCTTTATCATGGCCGAAGCTACTTCGGCATCCTCCCACTCTGAAAACCCGAGAAGGATATCCCAAAGGACAGCGGGAACTTCATCGTCCCGCCGAGAAGCGCTCGGCCCCTCCGTTCTCTGAGGAGGAGCCGAGGAAATTGGAGTCGCCCTAATCCCTTCAGCAGGGTCAGACTCTGCTCTTTGTCCATTCCAGGTCCCAATCCTGTTCCTGGGATCGGGAATTGGCCTTGCTCTTCTTGGAGCACGGGATCTACCCCTAAATCCTCTCGCCATTGATAATTTCGAAGAAAAAAGTCGAAAAAAAGGGAAGGAGTTCAAATTCAAAGAAAAATAAACTAAAATCAAAGGAATTTACCTTAATCTGAAGCGAAAGTTGCCGATTTACGAATTGGTAGTGGCGAGTCTCAGTTTCTAAGCTTAATGCTCGGGGAATTTGCGAAGTTTTGATGCGGGTTCTTGGGTTCTCTCGAGAATTCTGGGTTTGTGTTGGTGAATAAGTGAGAAGAGATGACGCGCCTCTAATTATATCTCCAGAAATGGGAATACGGGGAGTCCGCGTTTCAATTTCTCTTAAATACCCCACTAAGTAACCGTTAAACACACGACCTTGCGATTAAACTGCCCATTATCCGTCCAACTTCCACAATTATCCGCCTTAACTGTTGTTATCTCATTAATTACGGTTTAATTACGGTTTAAATTCAAATTTTTTGATTAATTAAATCATTCACTTCCCTCCTTTTCTGATTAAATCAAACCTGACCCGTCATCCTTCCAAATCGGGTCTGGGGGGCAAGTTGTTTGGGTCCAATTTAGTCCAATTGGGCTTAGGCATTAAATGATCCAATTAAAAGCCCAAGGTCAAGGTTCATCTCTCCAATTGTGCTAAAGTCAAAGATTAGTCCTCAAGGCAAGCCAATTGGGCTAAGGCCCAACTTCTCCATGTATGCGGAGGTATAAAAGCCATCAATATTACATTTGTACATTCATTCAAGCAAAGCCTCAAGCAATTAATTCTCTTGCATAGTGTTCTCTTTCTACGCACTGTACTGACTTTAGCATCGGAGGGACCTTCCTCGGCAACACCCCCGAGGCTAGTTTACGTGTGTTTACTGTGCAGGAAACCTTCGGCCCAACATTACTTGGATCGAATCTAGTCTTCTCCACTTCATCGGACCTTCGACAAGGTCCCATTGTTTTCACCCGAAACACTTTCTATCGAATAATAAAGTTTGTGAGGTGGTGTTTAATCATGGGCCCATTGAGATGATTAAACTCTTAAGAATTAAGAGTTTTATTCTGTTAAAGTCATTGCCGACATGTTGAATTATGGACAAAGCTTAGCCTTAATTTATTCTACGAGTATATAATTAGAGTCATACTCCTATTATTGATATTGATTGAAATATGGTGTATTATACTCACTCAGATCCATTTATGATTTAATTAGATATTCACAATGATTACAAAATAGATGATTGAATAGTAGTAAGAGATCAAGACATCGAAAAGTATTTAGTCAAAAAATCAAAAAGTGGCAATGTTGTAACTTGTAAGAGTTGTGCTTCCTGTTTCATTATTAGTGATGCCAACAAAAATTAACACAGAGCAAGTTATACTTTGCATTGGTTAATTTAGCTGGTTAGATTGACTTTCAATCTGTAATAGTATACTGTAATTTTTATTTATTTATTTTTTATTTTTTATTTTTTATTTTTGTGTGTGTGTTTTTAGAGAGCCACAAGGGCAGGTGACAATAATCAATCCCAAGATCTCTTGAAATCGGAAAGGAAACTCTAACCACTTAAGCTATCCCTCACTCTCACTCCATAATTATTTCTTAAGGAAACTATTCTTTTAACATATTGATCTTTTTTAAAGGTTGTGTAAGTATATGACTACGTAATAATAATCCGTATAACTATTTTCAATAATTTAAAATTTGTATGAATTGAATGTGTATGTATAGTAATTGGACTAATTAAATTATCACTCATAAGCCTTGTGTTCGTATTTCCTCTTTGACATAATACATAGAATAATTTCTTGTCAATAAGATTTCATATAGGATATAAATATTGAAAAGTTGTTAATTCCGTAACAATACTAATTTAACTTAGGTTATTTTGTTGTACATCATATCCTATTATTCCTATAGCTGATAACTTATGTGCATAGTCCCACCGGCACCGATCATTATTTTAGTTTGTCCATCTCATTTGGAATTTTTAATTTAAGAGAAGGTATTGGATGCGGCAAGCCATATCAAACAATTTGTGCGTCAAGTATACATGATATGTAGTATTTGATCAGGATATGTATTATTTGATAGAGGATATGTATAACTTGTTGGAGGATATGTATTATTTAATAGAGGATACGTATAGTTTTGTGGTAAGATATGTATAGTATAGGATACTACAGTTTGTTAGAGGATATCATCATATATCCAATAGAGGATATCGTCCAGCCTATAGATCATATCATACACACAATTATAAATGATATCATATAGCCAATAGAGGATATTATCCAGCCTATAGATGATATTATAAACACAATTATAAATGATATCATATAGCCAATAGAAGATATCATCCAGCTAATGAAGGATATCATAGACACAATTATAAATGATATCATATAGCCAATAAAAGATATCATCTAGCCCACAGATACTACTACAAAAATGGCCAAAGAGACCTATAATAAGAGACCTATTGGTTAATACAACAGGCCTCTTTGATATAAGAGACCTAATATTAGAGATAACAGGTCTCTACACTACAAAAAAAACAGCTTAATTCCGACGGAAAAATTCTTTCGGAAACATCGGAAATTCCGTCGGAAAATGGCCTTCCAACGGAATTCAGTCGGAATACGTCTGTCGCAAAACACTTTGTAGGAAATTCGACGTTTTCCGAGGGAAATTCCGTCGGAAGCCACTTTTCCGACGAAATTTCCGACGGAATCCGTTATGTCGGAGCTGGTTCTGACTTTAAACAAAATTCCATCGCAATTTTCCGACGGAAATTTCCGTCGGAGTTGGGGAGGTTTCCGACGGAAATTTTCGTTGGAAAAGTCAACTAAAAAAAAAAAAAGAGCCCCACCCCTAACCCTTACCCCACCTAGATCCACCCCAGCCACCAGCCCGCACCACCCACTACCACCACGTCCAACCCATTTTCCCACACCACCCACCACCACCACTTCCAACCCCTTTTCCCGCACCACCCACCACCACGAAGTCCAACCGAAAAACCCACCCACCACCCTAACCCGTATCCCCTCCCAACCACCCAAATACCACCACCCACCTCGCCATTCCACACCCTCCCAAACCACCACCAAAATCACCCAAAAAAGGCAGAAATCACTTAAATAAAACAAAGTAATTCAACCCAAGAAAACGAAGTAATTCGACCCAAAAAAACCGAGCAATTCGACCCAAAAAACCCCAGAAATTCAACCCAAAAAAACCCAGAAATTCGTCCCAAAAAAACCCAGAAATTCGACCCAAAAAACCCAGAAATTCGACCCAAAAAACCCCAGTAATTCGTCCCCAAAAAACCCAGAAATTTCAAAAGAAAAAACCCCAGAAATTCGACCCAAAAAAACCCAGAAATTTCAAAAAAAAAACGAAGAAATTCGACAACTTACCTTGAATTCCATCAAAACCCCTAAATTAGCTTGAATTTGGGTTTTAAAGGTCAAATTCGACCATGAAAACTCTAGATCTAGGGTTTTCATGGTCGAATTTGACATGAAAAACCTTGAGAAGGTGGTGGTAGTGTGCTGGTTGCGCAACGACGGTGGTGCTTGGTGTTGGTTGCGCGGAGGAGAGAGAAACGGAGAAGGAAAGAGAAGAGAGAGAAACGAAGGAAGGAGAAGGAGAAGAGAGTGAAAGAGAGGGCGAAGGAGAGAGGAAGGAAGGAGAAGGAGAAGAGAGAGAAAAAGAGGCGGATCTGAGCTGAGAGAAGGAGGGAGGTCAGAGAAGGAGAAGAGAGAGAAAGAGGAGAGGAGAGGAGAAAGAGAAAGAAAAAAATCAGAGTTGTGGGTGTTTTTTTTTTTTATATTAGAATTTTCCGACGGAATATTTCGTCGGAAGCCTAGAGTTCCGAGGGAATAAATTTCCGTCGCAAGACTTCCGAGGGATTTTCCGTTGTAACGAACCTTTTCCGACGAAATTTTCTGACAGGCCCTAATTCCGTCGAAAAGTCCGAATTTTCTGACGGAATTTAGGTCCGTCGGAACTATTCCGTCGGAAAACGACCTATTTCTAGTAGTGCTAAAATGTCAAAGGCCCCACATGAGATAGAGGGACGAAAATAAGAGACCTATTGTTTTGCTGAACTGGTCTCTTATGTGCATATGGGCCCACCACAATTTTTGCCTTTTTTTTATTTTTAAACAATACCTCCTCCCTTCTTAATTCTTATTCATTTATACAGTTCATTATCAGTCATATGACTCTCTCTTTCCTCGTTCCCCCTTATATGCCCCTTTTTCTTTCACCTTCATCAATTGACTCACCTCTTAATCTCTCATTTAATTTCTCCTTTTTTTTTAACTCACGGAGCAATTGATTGCGCCTCTAAATCCTCCTCATTTACGGCGCTACTGCATCCTCCTCCTACGCCGGCGTTGCCTTAAATGTCAATTTTGACCATAAAAACTCTAGATTTAGAGTCATATGGTCAAATTTACCCAAATAATTCTACAATTGAATTAGTTTTGAAAAGGTATGTTTCCATATCAATTTAATTCTGAAAAGTTTTGGGGTTGGTGACAATGTGTTTCTATGGCGGTGGCTTCTGGGTTTTTTTTTTTTTTTTTTTTAAAATAGGTTGTTCTGGTTTAGATTGGGTAGTTTTTTGGGTTTTTCGTGGGTGGCTAGGATTTTACGGGGATTGGGGTTATTTTTCACTAGGGGTTGGTTTTCACGGGGTTGGGGTTGGGTCGGTTTATTACGGTGGTGGGGGTGGTTTTTACGGGGTTGGGTGATGAGTGACATTTATGTCACTCTTAGGGGTAGTATTTAGGTCTTTTTCCTCTTATTTTTCTTAGGTTTTTCCACCTCATTATCCTCTTATGGCTTCTTTTTGTGTTGATGAAAAGTAATGCTTATTTTGATAATCTTTATGCATTATTTTATCATCCCCATGCTCTCGTGAACTTTGGTATCTTCTGCAGGTTCCGTGACGGTCCTATGCGCGGTGGGAGGCCCCTTGGCCAAGCATGGAAGCCATGGACAAAGGAAAGAGGAGCAAAAGGGAAGGAGAGGAAGCAAGAAAAGGAAGTGCAAGAGGAGGTGTGGCCGAACCTCTGAAAGGTCCGGTCGAACCTTTGTGTGGTCAAACTTTTCAAAAGTTCGACCGAACCTCCAGGGTGCAGTGAAGGCAGTGTCAAACCTGTTTTCAGCAATTTTGCAGGAGAGGTCGAACCTCAAAAGTTCGACCAAACAAGGATCAGGGAGGTTCGACCGAACCTACACAGGGTTCGACCGAACCTACCCTGAGTCCGACCGAACTTACCCAGAGTTCGGTCGGACCTTTTCCCGATCTCAGCCAATTTTGTACGGACTATTTAAGGTCCTTTTGAGATCGTTTAAAAGAAGAGGGGAGAAGGAGGACAATAGCCTAGTTTTTAGAAACCTCTCTTAGTTTGAAACATTCCTTAGGATTAATTTAGCTTAGTTTTCATCAAATCAAATCATTGTATTAGTGAAATTCAAGAATTATTCTCAAAGTTGGGCAATTTGTATTCAACATTTGAAGCTTCAATTAGTAATTTCTCCAACCTTCTTCCTTTTAATTTCAGATTTCATTTGGTATTTGCATGTTATTTAAATCTTCTTAGTTCTTGGTAATTTGTTATTGGATGATAGTTATTTCAATTGTTAACCACTTTTCCCCAATTATTGAAGTATTTAGAACCCTAATTCTTGATTGCATGTTGATAAACATGAGTTGTGAGTAGTTTTCTTGCTAGGGGTTCGGTGAAGCTCGACCTTTTAGGTTAACTATGCAAATGTGGGAGAAGCATTGATGTTTGTATTGCAATTAAATTGATTATATGAGATTGCTTGTTAGTTCCTCATGATAGGTTTAGCTACCCTTGACTAAGGAGCTTGATAGTATGATATGCCTAATTTGACATGGAAGTGTAAATTGAGTACGTCATTACTTATTGTAATTTGATTATGTATCATCTATTGCTAAACTAATGAGGAATCTAAGTTTAGTAGTGTGAGTTGTTTTCTAATTGCATGAGGTTGATTTTACATATAGTCCTTGCTATATCTTGTCTATTTTACTCCCCGTTTGCCTATTTGCCTTGGTTGAGTGGATCTCATTCCCTAGTATCTTTAATTCATTGATTTAGAACCATAGTTTGTTTGTCTTCTTGACGAACCCCTATTCACCAATTGACTTCGAGTTAGCTTAAGTGTAAAGATCTTTGGCAATCATATCCTGTTCCTTGTGGACCGAACTCTTACTTGTCATTATGCTTGGTTTGTAAGGTGTTTGTTAATAAATGTGTTTGATTGAGTGTGGAATGTACGACCGTTCTAACGCCCATCATCGGGATGGTTTATACGGGGATGAGGGTGGTTTATACGGAGGTTAGGGTGGTTTGTACGGGGTTAGGGCTAGTTTATACAGGGTTGGTAGTTTTGGGTTTTTGTACAAGGTTAGGAGTTTTTCTACGGTGGTGTTAAGCGAGATTGAGGTATTTGTTATTGTGATATTTTCTTGGTGTTTTTTTTTTAATATGTTAAATTGAGTATATTATTTTCTTTGCAATTTGCAGTTTGCAGTTTGGCTCAATTGATTTCTTGAAAATTGAATAACATGATTGATTTAGGTGCCTAAGAGTGGATTTTGGTGAAGGCTGCAAATGGGATAATATATGTTTAAATTGATTTATTCCCTTAATTTTGCTATTGATGATGTTCCTGGGTGAAAAATTTGATGTTAGATTGTGACAAGATTTATAAATTGAAATGCATTTAGCTACGCAGGAAGAGGAAGAGATGATTTGTTGCTAAATCAGTTGTTAAGGTTGTGTTTATGTTGTTGATGTCTAGTTTTTAAAAATTATTAGCTTTTAAAAAAAAAATGATTCTCTTAATGGTGTACAGGAGGATGACCAATTCAAGAAACTCGCTTAGTTGATGTATGGAGGGCTAAAGAAATTACCAAGGATGTGTTGAATTCACTTGTTGTATAAAAATGATGGGAATGTTGTTAGTTTTGGTAACTTGTAAATTATTGTTACTTGTAATTTATTTCCAAAAATTCTCTTATATATGTAAATTATTGTTCGTATATACTTGTAAATGTAACTACTAGTAAATTCAATAATTATATAAGTTTATGTAAATTTATCTAATTGTTTGGTTCTGCAATTTTCAATTTTAGTAGAATAATTACAAAATAATAAATGTATATCGTCGAATTATTTTAAAAAAATAAAATAAAGAGACCTGTTATCTGACAAAACAGGTCTCTTTATGGCTCTCAAAGAGACCTGTTGTGTTAAATAACAGGTCCCTTCCCCTTCTTAAATGTATGATGTGTATACATGCAAAGAGACCTGTTACCTTACTTAACAGGTCTCTTATTGATTACAAAGAGACTTGTTCAATTGAAAAGGTTTCTTTAGCATAGAGACCTCCTCTAAACAGGTCTCTTATGCCATTTCCAACAGGTCTCTTTGGCTTTTTTTTGTAGTAGTGAGAGGATATCATAGACACAAATATAAATTTTATCATGTAGCCAATAGAGGATATCATCCAATCTATATATAGATGATATCATCTAGCTTATATCATAGAACCAATAGAGAATATCATCCAACTTATAGAAGATATCAAAAACAATAGAGGATATTACCAAAATAATAGAGGATATCATCCAACTCATAGAAGATACTTGTATCATAAAAACAATAGAGGATATATATAAAAAAAATAAAAAAAATAAAAAAAAAATAGTGGAGATATCATCCATTGTATAGATAATATTATAGACACAATACATGACATCATCCAACTTATAGATGATATCATTCAACTTATTATATATGATATAATCTACATAATAGAATTTATTTTTTAAAAAATAATTAAAAGGTCAACAATGGCGGAACCACCACTGAAGGTCCCGTACTAAGCTCATGGGTATAACATAACATGCTCATTTCTCAACCAAAATACATGCAGTTGTTATCAAAACGCTCACAATTATTCAACATAAAATCACATAGGACAATCAATTTCAACAATTATACATCACACAAGAAAGCCCCGAATCGGATTTTTTGGGCATTTTTCGAAAAATCTGAGATTGTCAAGCAATTATCAAGCCAATTCAAGCATAAATCATGGACAAATATAATCAACAATCTTTATTTTCTCTCTCCTCTCCATCCTCTTCAATTCAAGCATAAATCATGGACAAATAAAATGGAGGAATTTAGCAAAAGTTGAGGAGAGAGAAAATAGGGGTGGGCTAAAGGTGAGGAGGAGAGAAAAAGTGGAGTAGGATTGAGTGGGAGTACTGTTGGTGGTGGTGAGTGGAAATGAGGGTGTGAGAAGTTTGTATTGCCGTACAAATAATAGTTGGACGGACGAAATGTTTGGTTAGTCCGGATTGACGCAATAGTTTGTGTTAATTTAAAGAGAGAAATTATAACATGTCTAAAGAGGATCTTTTTAGATATATATTGATCCTTAAATATATATATGGGCTGAAAATTTTGTAAAAAGACAATTAAGACAAACATACAAGAGTAAAAGGATTTAATTTTACTACGAATTTAATTTTACTACGAATTATATTGTTATATTATATCTTGCATCAAATGCATGAAGTAGTTCATTTTACTAAATTTGCTTTTAGTTAGTTGGTTCAATTTAGGTTAATCATACAATTCAAGTCATCATTGATTAAGTTCCAGTCGATGTAAACTCGGGTGTTCATTATTATAATCTCAAGCTAAGTATAAAAGGTGGTTATTTAACATCATGACTATTTTGGCTCTTTTTAAAAAAATAAAATAAAATTATATTGTATTTTTATTATATAAAAATTGTAATTCGATCAAGTGATGATAACAACTCGACTTATAACATTAAAAATAACATTTCTTTACGTAATATCTTGAAAAGGTACAAGATTATAACTAATTTAACTTACAAAGAGTAGTAGTACTTTTTTTCACTAATATACAAATTTAGTGTATCACTAGTTCACTACATCGCACAAACAAAAACAAATTACATTACTTTAATTTACACACCCACACCACAAACATTTTTTTCTTTTATTTAATTTGTTTTTCTATTTAATAAACAACGTACCACAACAACGACAACAACAACGTACAATAACTAACAATTACGGAGTAACAAACTAACAGGATATACTAGAAGAATTTATTCAATATCCCATAAAATTCAGTAAATAATCCGATGATCACTTGAAAAATCCTTTAGCCATACCCATCAAACCACCACCACCACTAGACTCCTTCTTTTCACCGCTCTCCGGTGCCTCCGACTCCACCTTCTTTTCACCACCCTCCGCCGCAGCAGCACCGTGGTCGCCATGAAGGTTATGGAGATAACCTTCCGCCTTACCAACATACTGTCCAACACCGCTATTATCGTCGAGCTTCCCATACGTCTTAGCGGCTTCTAGAACATCTTCAGCAGCTTCCGAGACCTTAGCCTTGTCAATCTTATCAGTCTGGTTGGAGCAGGCAAACTGCGCCGCCTCGGCTACGGTCTTGGCGCTTGCCATCAGATCGGATGTGGATGATGGTGCACTGTGGCCCTCAGTAGCTTCTTCAGCCATAATAATGAACAAAATATGAATGAGGAAATAAAGTTGGCTAGGTTTTAGAGGATGAATGAACTTATTTTTTAGGTTGTTGGTTTGGTTTATGGGATGTTGGAAAATAGTAGGGGATTTAAAGGGGTTAAGGAGTATAGTGGATAAATGTATGATTGAGATATTTTTAAAGGAGAAATTATGGTGGTGTTTAAAATAGGGCCCATATTTGAATTGTTTTGCCAAGTTGTTACCGACAAAACCATGAGTTTAATGCAATTACGTATGCAACCTTTGATTTTAAGTGCTACGTGCCTCTTTCTTCTTGAACCTGCTAATGACGTACTGAGGTGAGAGAGACTGAGGCTATTCCTTGGACAATTCGAAGGAAATTACTCCGTATGTGAATGTGGCCATGTTGCGTAGATACTAGATACTACTCTCTCCGATAATTTGAGTGTTATAATTTAATTGACATGTAACTAATTTTAAAAGGTTTAAATGACTTGTGACTTTGTGAATAAAAAGTTAATAGTTAATTGAAAAGTATGTAATAGCTAATTAAAAAAAATTACAAGGATCCAAGTATATTAGTCAAGATTGTCATCATCGAAGTATTCTCATTACATTTAGGTTATTGTTAGTCAAACTATATCTGAATATCCCTTATTCTTATCCAAATTATACATAGCCATATTTTGGGAAGCTCATTAATACAATTAAGCTTTCTCTTACCTCTATTTTCATTATTCGAAAATTGATCGATATAAAAGAAAGATGATAATGCAGATGGCAATTAATTATGAGTTGTGATTACATGTATCACATACTATTTTTAAAAATTTAATCAACTAAATTAATTGATATTTATTCTTAAGAATCTAATTCTTATAAGCCTTATTAATAGCCTCATATCCGTGTGTGCTTGCTTTACTCTTTATCTTTGGCTTTTGAGAGACCCATCCTGAAACAGTGAAACATGCCACGATACCATCACGCAATTTGAGTAAATTTTGTCACTGTTCAATCTTGATGAATTATTACCTAAGCCCATGCTTAGTGCCCACCATCCACCAATCACGGACCTTATGAACCGAGTTACTATTATTTTCATTTTTTCACGGGTATATTGGCTTGCTGTGTTACTTTTCTCAATTTGCATGAGAATAGATCTTATGAGCATGAACCAATTTGATGGTTCATAAATAGGAATTCCTTGTGAAACAATTTGATAATTCCAAGGAAGGACCATATCCCCTTATATTTACTACACATTGTAAATAGGAAATTTGCAAAAAAATCTCCATATAAAAGCATTTTTTTTTAAAAAAAACCTCCTTATAATTTTTTTATTTTTTGCAAAATTATACCTTAAACAATTTTTTTTTTGCGAAATCATACCTTTATGCCGGAAAATGGAGTTTAACCCTTTTTTCCGACGTTGACTATCCCAATCCACCCACGAAACCACCTCCCTCCCCAGCCCCACCCACAAAACCACCTTTTCACGGCATGGACCACCCTAAACCCTAATTTACACTCGAACTACCCTAAACCCAGATTTTGCGGGGTGGTGGAAAGGAGGGGTTCGATTTCATTGGTGGGGATGAGGAGGGGAGGCGGTTTCGTTGGTGGAGCGAGCTAAGAAGGGGGGTGATTTCGTGAATGGGGTTGGGGACGGGGCGGTTTCGTGGGTGGGGTTCAACGCCGAAAAATGGGGTTTGACCCCATTTTCCGGCATAAGGTATGTTGTTGCAAATTTTTTTTACTATCTCCGTTATATATTAGTTGCAACTTTTGCCAAAATGGGTTACTACACATTAGTTATAACTTTCCATTTTTTCCCTTTTTAGTAAGGTTTTTTCAATAAAAGTACAAAAATACCCTTACTAAAGATTTTATAAATACAATTAGTTACCCAAATCAGATTTCATTAATTCCTAATCTAACTTATTTAACATAATTTTATGATCCAATTAAATCAACAATCATAAAAAATCATTCAACTAACTTCTCTTTTTTTTTAAAAAAAAAAATTAAAAATAAATTCATTCAGCTTCCATCTTCATCTCCCACGAAACAGACCACCAGCACCTTTAGGTGAGTTTGGGTGGTTTTGGGGGTGAGTGACGGTGGTTGTTTTGGGTTGGTTTTGGCTGAGAGGGTGAGGTATTTCAAGGTGGTTTAAGTTGAGAGGGGGTAGTTTTAGAGTGGTTTGGGCTGAGAGGAGGTTTCGTGGTTATTCAGGTGGAGAGGGAGTGGTTTTACGGTTGTTCGGGTGTGTGTGGGTGTGGGTGGTTTCAGGGTGGTTCGGGTAGAGATGGGGTGATTTCAGGGTGGTTCGGGTTGTTTCAGGGTGTGAGGTGGGTGGTTTCGGGGTGGCTGCTATTGGGCTACGGTGGTGGGCTCGGTGCTGTTGGTGTTGTGGGTTACTATTGATTAAGTACCTTCTCTTTCTCTCTCCTACCTTAATTACCTATTCTTTAATCTACTAATCAACCATTATGAAATTTTATCTTAAAATCTGTATTAGGCTGAAAGTTGCAACTAAGATGTAACTAACGGAGATAGTAGATTAAGGTATGACTTTGCAAAAAAAAAAAAAAAAAAAAAAAAAAAAAATATAAGAAGGTTTTTCGTAAAAAATTGCTTATAAAAGGAGGTTTTTTTGCAAAATTTCCTTGCAAATAATTACAAAATGTTTAAGTTTGTAAACAAACACTAACTTATTTGTGGAAATGAATGAGAAATTAAATTCAAGGTGTTCAAGTCTAATTCGTTTATTAAACATCATTGAGAATAAGGGAATTGAATTCTTCCTAATAGTGTAGTAATAATAGTGTGGCCGTGTAGCATGTAGGGACTCTATCACTGCTAAGTGGTAACAAAGGGAATTGAATTCGTCTACTTCATGTTTTTTTTCTCAACCCCGCTAGAAAATGAGAGCACACTAAGAACATTCACATTTGCTAAGAAAGGGTAAGGGTCAATTGCTTTTCACTCGTCTAATTTATTACAGTGACTTCTTGTCAACGACTCCACAACTAAATGTGTCCCAACTGCCTTATTTAAGTCCTAGGCTTGTGTAGGTTTAGTTTGTGATCCAAGACAAACCAAAAGGCCAATTGACATCATTCTATTGTCCTTTATTTAAAGTTATGTGACATTTAATATTATTGAGAACCTGAAATACACTCGCACGTGTCAGCCGACGTTATGACCTAATTTTAATATATTGACCTTTATTATTTATATTGACTGTTATATTAAAACTTTCGTTTAATAAAAGTTATATGAGTGATAATGTTTTATTGTGCTTCATTGAGTAAAGTATAAGATATAAATAGGAATACAATAACTAAAAGTCAGTAAACAGAAGCTATAAAATAGGAAGGAAAAGATAAGTATAACTATATACTGAAGACTAATTCTAATCCTATAATATTGGAGCTCGTTGCATGCGAAGATGAGAAGTAGCTCCTATAATCAAGGAGTGTAGTTGAGCAAAGCATGCAGAGATAACTTCATACTGTAACACGCCCCCTCAAAACGGGTTGTAATAATGAAAGTCCGATTTTGCGAGTTGAGATATTGAACTGGAGCTTCGGTAAAGTCCGATTTTTCGTGAAGGCATCAGCTAGCTGGTCGGTAGTGGAAATGTTAGAAACACGAAGCTTGTCGTCTTGAACATGTTCTCGGACAAAGTGGTAATCAAGAGCAAGATGTTTCATATGTGAGTGGAAAACCGGATTAGCACTCACGTATGTAGCACCAGCATTGTCACAATAGATTACTGGAGTGGAATGCAAAGGATGACGAAGCTCAGTGAGAAGGTTTTGAACCCAAAGTAATACGGCAGTGGCTGCAGCAACGACTCTATATTCAGCCTCCGTAGAAGACCGCGTGTTTTCTGTTTCTTTGAAGACCAAGAGATGGGATTGCGACCAAGGTAAACTATATTGGTTGTGGTGGATATAAAGTCATCCGTGTCACGAGCCCAATCAGCATCAGAGAAGGCATGAAGATTAGGAGGGGAATCTTTGTGAATTGTGATGCCCATGGTGGACGTTCCATTGAGATATCGTAGGAGACGATGTAAAGATTGCATGTGAACCTCCGTTGGATGTTGCATGTACTGGGCAAGCTTGTTAACCGTGAAAGCCACGTTAGGACGTGTAAGACTAAGGTATTGCAAACTGTCGATCAATGACGGTAGTGGGATGGGTCAGACAACGGTTTTCCATCTGTGGTTAGAGGAGGATGTACGGCTAGGGGGGTTGAGGTGGGTTTGGCATTCTCCATGTTTGCCTTACATAGTATATCGTTTATGTAGCGTGTTTGGTTTCACTACAAGAAAACAACTAGATTTCGACGGAATTTTTCCATCAGAAACATCGGAAAATCCATCGGAAAATCCGTCGGAAAACAGCCTTCCGTTGGAATCAGTCTGTCACAATACCCTTTGTAGGAAAGTCGACGTTTTCCAAGGGAAATTCCGTCGGAAGCCACTTTTCTGACGGAATTTCTAACAGAATTCATTCTGTCGGAGTTGGTTTTGACTTTAAACGAAATTCCATCGCAACTTTTCGACGGAAATTTCCGTTGGCGTAGGAGAGGTTTCCGAAGGATATTTCCGTTGGGAGTGGCATATTCCGATGGAAATTTCCGTCAGGAGAGGTATATTCCGAACGGAAATTTCCGTCGGAAAAATCAGAAAAAAATAATAAAAAAAAAACAGCACCACCCTACCCCACCCTGTCCAGCCACCACTTCCCCACCTAACCAACCCCCTAACCCACCCACACCCACCACCACGCCTAACCACCTCCAACCCACCCACATCCACACCACGCCTAACCCCACACCACCCTGCACCACCCAACCACCTCCACCTAACCCAGACCCAGACCCACCAAACCAAACCAAACCCAGACCCACCTAATAACCCACACCCCACGAACCCCACCCCACCCAGACCCCCCATCCAAACCTCCCACATCCGCTTGACCGGACCCCCACCCTACCCCACCCTGTCTAGCCACCACCAATAGCCCAACCCAAATAAAAAAATAACAAAAACCAATTCGTAAAATAACAAATCGAAAAAACAAAAAAAAATCATAACACCCAAATCGTACAATAGAGATCCGAAAAAAATACAAAAAAAAAATGAAATCAAACAAAAGAAATATATATACATTTATCTTCTGAAATTAATAGAGATCTGAAAAAAATTAAAAAAAAAATCCCTAGATCTACAATGTGTCGCTGTTAGGTTGGTGTCGTTGTTGGTTGTCGTTGCTGTTGGTGTCGTTGCTGTGGTGGTGGTGTTGTTGCGTCACCGGTTTTTGTGGTGGTCGAAGAAGACGAAGGGGATGAAGAAGGACGAAGGGGACGAAGAAGAACAGAGAGGACGAAGAAGGATAAGGAAGGAGAAAGAGAAGGAAGGAGAAGTAGAAAGAGAGGGCGGAATGGAGGAGTACAGAGATCAGAAGAGAAGAGAAGAGGAAGAAGAGAGGAGAGAGAGAGAGGAGAGAGAAAGAGAAGAGAGGCGGAGAGGAGAGGAGAGAGAAAGAGAAATGATGGGGGGGAGGGGGGAACCGGGTTTTTTTAGGGAATTTCCGACAGATTTTATTTCCGTGGGAAATTTATTGTTTCGACGAATAATCTGTCGGAAATTTCCGACGGATTTTATTTCCGTCGAAACATTAAATTTCCTACGGAATATTCTGTCGGAAAGCCCATAAATTCCGACGGATTTTTATTCCATAGGAAATCCGTCGTAAATTTCCCGACGGAATAAAAAAACCGTCGGAATTTATGAGATTTCCGACAGAAAAACGTGTCCGTCGGAATTTGGCCTATTTCTAGTAGTGTTTAAAAAAATGCCATTTTGGTGGGGCAAGACCTCCACGTTTAAGAAATAAGACATGTTGCCTAAATCTCTTAGAGAGAACCAAGAGGAGAGTGTAGTGATGAAGGACTCAAGGAAGGTAAGGATCATATAACATATGATCTGAACTTAATTTTTCGGGTCTTATCTTATCTGAAAGGTGAACTAAGCATGGCCTTATTTGAGTACATTAATATTTTGTATTGTGTTTTGAACGACTAACATGTGCAAATTTATTTTTCTTCGCTTCCGTTCCATATTAGTTGACATATTTTGACTTTCAACACTATACACAAACTTTACGGTTGCATTTATACGTTGACAAACATATTTTAAGTTTACAAATATATATATTTCAACTAATTTTTCTTAATCATCGTAATGTGCTACATTCAGGTTCAGACAACAGTGAGGACTCTCTCCCAAGACAACTATACGCAGACGACCCCAATTTTTCATACTGCATATCAAGTGACCTAAGTCAAATCAACGTCAACTTATTTGGTCCTGAAGCAAAGATCCAAGGCCAACCCGTAAAAATGTTTAGAAACATGCTCAATGATAATTATTTCATTGACCTCATTGCCATCACAGTGAATAATGAGAGGTTAGATGTGCCACCATCAGTATTCCTGATGTCGGATTCCGGGTCAAGAGGCTTCATCGTAGACTCAGGCACCACCTCAACTTGGTTAACCTCGGTGGCTTTCTAGGCCATGAAAAAGATGGTGCAATTGTTTGGTCCTCCTATCCGGTACACCATCATTATTCTTGCTTGTTTATATTATAATTTGGAGAGGAATTTAAAATGAAAACAGTTTGAGGCAAGGAATTAAGAAACATGAATTATATAACTGCTTGATTTTTGTAATGAACTAATGATCCATCATCGGTGTATGAAGGGTGGCTAATTTAAGAGAGATTTTAGCTGTTTTTTTTTTTTTTTTTTTTTTTTTGAAGACGAGATTTTAGCTAGTTCCAAGCGTTATTAGATATTTGACTTATCCAAAATACTTTTTATTAGTGCGTACTACTCGTATTAAATTCTAATATTTAAATATTATTGTCCTCATAGAACTATAGAAGGACATGCATTGATAGATGTTAGATAGACATTACAAACAAATTATATTATGCACTCAATAAATTCATATTAAGGGGGCGTTTAGTATAGATATTGGAAAAGGAGTGGAAAGAAAACAAATAAGAGGGAGGAAAAGAATTATTTAACACTTGCCTTTCCATCTGTTTGGTTTAACCATGGAAAGGAATCGCTTAACCATAGGCCCTTTTCTATTTGTTTGAGGAAAGTAAGGGTAATTGTTACCTTAAACCTTCTAATCAAACACTTAGAGAGATAACACATAGTGGAAACCATTACTAGGGATGTTAGTGGGGTGGGTCAAGTAGGAGACCCGCCCCATCCCTGCCCCAGTTTTAGGTTGTACCCGCCCCATCCCCACCCACCCCACTTCGTACCCACCCCATCCCCACCCCATACCCACATCCATATGTGTAAAAAAAAATAAAATTGTATATTTTTATCTTGTTTTATATTAAAAAAATTTATGTAAAATAAAGTAGTAAATAACTAAATATAATATGTTGTAATAAACTTAATATTAATAATGATTTTTTATTGTAATCTATATTACGTAATATTGTTGTATTTGGGAGGCGGGGATTAGGTGGGTCATGGGCCAGGATTAAGTGGGGGTGGATATCCAAGTGGGGGGTGGGGCGGGGATGATTTTGGAATTGTATCCGTTGGGGCGGGGATGGGGATGAATTTTGGATTCGCCACGGGAATGAGAATGGGGATGAGAATGTTAGGCGGGGATGGAGATGGGAAATCCAACATCCGCCCCGCCCCGTTAACATCCCTAATCAAACACTTAGTAATGGTAATGGTTTAATTGAATCCATTCCCACCCCAAAAAATGCTCTAACCAAACAGCTCTAAATTGAGTATTGTGGAAACTGCAATTTGATCAAATAATAAGAAGGGCAAAAAAATAATCTAATTTTCAAGGGGGGGAAAATGTTCTTTCTAACCTACAAATTAAACTAAACCCTTTTAGATAAAATGCAAGGTATCATATGGAAAGGAGAGTATAGAGGCTAAAATCTTATAAGAAGCGAATGAGCATTCTTTTAACATTACATTTTCTATTAAGCTTTGAATATCATTCATCTCATTTGATCATACAAATACTACACATATATACTTCGTAGTTTACAAATAGATTGATCATGCTTGATAAGATAATAAACCCTCATTTTGTCAAACCTTTTAGGATCCACAGATTTTTATTTTTGTTTTTAAGTTTTTTGAAGAGAGGAAAAACGATTTTCATATATAAAAGTAAAATTATTTCATGTTTGACCAAGTTTCCAAGAATCGATCAAAATTTCAAAATTTCTCATTTTCTCGTCTGTACAACCCAATTCACAAGATTGTATAGAGAAAATGAAAGAGGAATTGGTCAATCGGAATACAACTTCAATTCTAGTGCTCAAGATTATAAGCATAATCCTTTGCTAAACTTAGAAATAACAAATTACAAAAACAATCAAATAACAATTAACATTCATAATTCGTAGATTCATACATTCATACTCATATTCCAATAACAAGTCAGTATGTAACATAGTTTTAAACAATAAAATAAAATCAATGTTTCTTCATAAACCCTTGAGCCAATTTGATATAATCACCAGCACCACCACTTCCACCACTAGAATGACCCGTTCCACCGCCTTCGCCGCTATGATCTTGTTTCTTATTCAACAACCCTTGAGCCAACTTAATATAATCCCCAGCACCACCACCACTAGAATGTCCCGATCCACCGCCTTCGCCGCCATGATCTTGCTTCTTATTCAACAACCCCTGCGCCAACTTCACATACTCCCCATACCCACCACCACTTCCACCACCACCACCACCGGAATGACCCTGACCATGACTATACTTCCCGTCACCGCCGTCGTGGGGGCCACCGTAACCGGAGGAATGCGGGGTGGTTGTAGAGGTATACGACGAGGAATGAGATTGAGATTGAGAAGAAGAAGATGAGTTATATTTGTGAAGGTAAGTTTCCGCCTTACCAACGTATTTACCGTAACTCTTCTCGTCAAGTTTACCGTAATGTTTAGCGGCGCCGAGGAGGTTACCGGCGGCTCCGGCGACTTTTGCTTTGTCGATCTTTTCGGTGTCGTGGGCTAAAGCCGATTTAGCTGCGTCTGCCATGAGTTTGGCGCTTGCCATGAGTTCTGATGTGCTGGGGGTGTGACCCTGACCCGGACCCGAGTGGGTTTTGGTGGGTTTGCCTCTGGTGTAGTATTCGTCTTCCATTGGGATTAGGAAGGTTTTGGATATGTGGATTTGAGATTGGGATTTTGGAAAGGGATAATGGTAAAGAGAGATATATTTGTGAATGAGGAAGAAATGTTGGTTTGTTGTATTAATAGTGGGCTATTACGCGGTGGAAGAGCGGGAGGTTGTCTAATCGCTGTCACAAAGACTGAGTTGAGTTGTCAACGCCGAGGGTGAAGACTTAATAAACAAGATTTAACTTTCACTAGTTTTGAGAAAAATTATAAATTACTTTATTTATTAGATTTGTGTAATACAAGTATATGAATTAATAAGAATACTGTATTTGGAGGTTTCAAATGGAGTAGATTTAAGGGTTTTACTCCCTCCGTCCCCGAAACTTTGACTCGTATGGCCTAATTTTAGTCTTAAAATATTCATCTCATTTGCATTTTAATATCTTTTAATTTGCAATAATATTTGTGGAAAATTAGCTTCCCTATGCAAATTTTGCTTTTTCTATATACTTTTATTACTTTCTCTCTCTACTTTTTTGCAATTTCAATGTAAATTTCCCTTTTCAATGTACTTTTCTTAGTTTCCCCATACACTCTTACACTTTCATTTTAACTTCTTAATACCCACGAAATCAACCCAAAAGGGTCGAAGTTTCGGGGAAGGAGGGAGTAAAAAAAATGATATGTTTAAAAATTTGAAATTTATTGAACCTATTGAATTAATTTTTACCAAATCATAGAATTGATTTGATTTTTAGAAATGCGTATTGAGATTGAGAAACGGAGGAGGATTTTTTTTTTCCCCATAAATAATGAGAAAAGAGAAAGGTGAATATTGATATTATATATGCAATTACATTCTTTGGTTACATCCATTCAAAAAAAAAAAAAAAAAAAAAAAATCTTTGGTTGCATTATTTATATTTCAAGATCCAAACAGTGGATTAATAGGTGGTGGAAATGTTAACAATACATTAAGTACATCATAATAAATAAGGGTGTTAATGAGTCGTAGACACTTGAGAAAATTGAGCTCAAAACCTTCGACATAAGCTCGGCTTAGGGCTCAAACATCAAATGCTCGATTCTAGTCTCTAAATTACTTGTGTTTTTATCAAATGATAATCAAAATCCCTCAATAAAGCCCAAATATGATAATAACTTTTAAAGTCCAAATGTTAATAAATAATTTTAGAGTACAAATTTTATACTTTAACTCGTGAAAAAGAAAACAATACTTCAACTTTTGAATACAGTAAGAAATCAAAAAATTAAGTTTGCTCACAAGATTGCGAGTCCAGTTAAAGATAGCTCAAGTCTTACCCTGTTAAACTAAACCTGATCTTGAGATGAGCCCACTCGAGCCGAGTTTTGACATATACTTAATGCTTTGTAATTGTAATCCACGCATTGGCTTTCTAGAGGGAAGAGTTCATTTAACCATATCTAGCAACTCGCCTTCCCGGCTTCTCACGTACGTTAGAAAAGCGGCATTTTGGATTCTGGAACATCTTCCATCTTCATGCTGCATTCTCACTCATTTTCTCTCTCCTCCACTCTGGTATCTCTCTTTCTCTCCTCTCTATTTTTTTGCTCTAATTCCCCTTATATTCTGAATATTTATTCTAACATTGAATTGCATGATTACGACCCAAATTACAACGTTTCATTTTGGAATTTGATTGAAGCCAAAGAACATGAAATTTCGCTCTTAATTTGTTTTCTTTCATCGAAAAATGGACCTAAAGTCACAAGTAGCAACTCTGATTTTCGTTCCCCAATCACCCCAATTGATATACATAGAGAACAAACCAAATTAATTGCTAAAATTTGTAGGTTTTCATGATTTATTAATAGAAATGGGTATTGACGTTTAACATTTGGACCAGGGCAAATTGAGTTTACATAGGGCTATCAGAAGCTCTCATTGCCCTAGATTTTCAATGGTTTCAACGGAGAACAACGGCCCCAAGATGAAAATACCGCATGTTATGACGGTGGCGGGTTCGGACTCGGGGGCGGGTGCGGGAATACAGGCTGACTTGAAGGCCTGTGCTGCACTTGGGGTTTATTGTTCAACTGTGATCACAGCTGTTACGGCTCAAAATACTGTTGGGGTTCAGGTCTATTGTTTATCTTCCCTCATTTATGTTTAGAAAATATTTATTCAGTTGTTTATGATGTATATGTGATTAAGAATTATGTGAATTTTAGCATTTTGGTTTGTCTCTTAAGGAGAAATTGAACACAATTGTGAAAAAAATTCAGTTGTTTTATTGATCAATGGTCTATGGATTTATAACCGCTTAGTATTTGTAGAGGAAGGCTAACAATCAATCAATCAAAGCAATCCCATGAGTAGGGTGTAGAGGAAGGCTAACATTAATTGTAAATGTGATGGGAAAGCTGGATAGATTTGACCCTGTTTAATCCTGCGTTCTAGGTTGTAGCCTTGTTATTAAAGTTGGTTGTATCTCGAAGGAACAAATGATAGAAGCATAAGGATAAACTCTATAGTGGTATTGGAAGTTCAGCTTGATACTCACTGAATCTTGTGAAATCTTAAAAAGTTAGAAGTTTAGTCCTATGTTCACCACATATAATGCCGACCCTTGGGTAAGGAGCCTAAGGTACCAATTCTTAATTTGACATTGGTAAGGAGCCTAAGGAGACTAAAACATGTATGGAGCCTACAATTTACAGCATTAGTTATTGTTTATATACTTATATGAGTTTTATCCACAATCATTTTGATCCATACATGTTTTAGTCCTTCCAATTCATTGTCATTGACTGACAATGAATTCATAAAAGAAAGAAATGGCGGCAGATGGTTGACTGTAGGATCGTGGATTAGAGTATCTAGCTTGCAATTATTGTTTGCACACTTTTAAATCTTGAGGCTTCTCAATTGATGAGGTTTGTGTGAAGGTTGAAGATAACTCATGGTGTAGGAGTTTTAATATGCTAAGAGGTTTCGCTAAAGTATCAAGCACTGTTAAGTATCGGGGAGTGCAGCGTGAAAATATTTTTCTAATCCAGCTTAAGTCGACGAAAGCACAAGCTTTTATTGAGGGTGTAATGGAGTTTCTGGATAAAAGGCGTGCGCAAACAACGCAGTATGTAGGGTGTACAATTGCGCATTACATTACACATTAGTATCTCTCAGGGTGTTAAAATTGTATTCTTAAGTGAGGGTGAGAAAGTGCAATTAAATCCGAATAAAGTTACAATTGTATTCCACTATTTTTTTTTTTAATTGGGGACTAACCTTTGCAAAAGAGGTTGTAGTGTAGGTCTATCAGGGGACTAAAACTCATACTTATTGTGTGGTCTCAGTTCTGTCTTCCTAGATGTTTTACTATTGGTTGATCTAGTTGCTTACAAACACTTGTGGAATCCTACAAGGTATTTTTTTTTTTTTTTTTTTGGTATTGTATTGTATTGTTGGTGCTAACATGTCAGGTTTTAATGCGTTGGTGAGCTGTTTGCGTACTTTGATGATTTAAATGGGAAATATTTGGCTTGTCTTATAGGGTGTCAACATATTGCCGGAGGACTTTGTGGCTGAGCAAATGAAGTCTGTGCTTTCAGATATGGAAGTTGATGTGGTAAGTTCAGTTAAAGATATCTGAATCCATTTTGTGAAGGGTTTTTCTTCAAGAGGGAAAGGTTTTTCTTCAAGAGGTATATAAGTGGCTGAACTTGGTCCTGATAGGACATTCTATGGGTTAGGTTTTGCTGAGCTGCTACTTTATGCACAGTTGTTGACTGCTTCAACTTAACATTCTCCAGTCTCTCATGATGTATAAATGTATTTATGTCAATTTATTCAAACTATATGGCCCGGCATTCATCAGTTAATTGCTTCAAAAACTTTGAAGAATATCACTATAGATCTGGTTCATTTTTGTTTCCGTGCCGGTATTCATTAGCTAATCAGAAGCTAGTTGCTTAATTTATCTGCATTTGAATTAGTAAACTTTTTTGAACTTTTTCCAAGAACTTCCTGTGGTAAAACTTAATTATCTTGATACTTGTTGCATTAATGTAGGTCGAACCAATTATTCAATGAAGTATGGATTTTTGTCCTGCTAAACATCATTTAATTATATTTTAGAACAGGAGAGCACAAGTGATTGAGATTAGATGCTTTGTTTCAATGGAGTTTTGATCATGGAACATGAAAGAGTCCTTTTTGTTTTGAACTCTTGATGTGATTTCCACCCATCCCCCCCCCCCTCTTGCCCCCAGCTGTCACCACTTATACTAGTTTATCTTTTGATCCTCAAAAGCTTACATTCCTACAACGGAAGCTTACATTTCTACAACTACAAGTCCTGTCTCGTGTTACTAAACTGTGGGTTTGCTGTAATGATTTGACTCAGGTAAAAACGGGTATGCTTCCTTCTGTTGGTATGGTCAAGGTCCTCCTCCATTCCATCAAGGAGTATCCAGTTCAAGGTATGTATGCATCTCTGGATTTAATTATACTTAGTTTTTGCTGCTGTTGTGTATTGTGAGCTGAGTTGATCATGTTATTGAAGGAAGCTTTGGTGGTGGATCCTGTGATGGTAGCAACCAGTGGAGATGTGCTGGCTGGTTCGTCTGTTCTACCTGTATTTAGGTACGTGTCAATGTGTGACAGTTCTATGATGCATTGCCACCTTAGTGGAAGTGAATATGATATCAATGTCTATGTGTGATGTATAATAAAATTTTATCCTACAAATAGGAAAGCAGAATATTGATCAGTGGTGTTCTTTAACCAAAGATAGTCACAAAGCAATTAAGAGGCAAAGTCAAATTGAATTTGTTAGACTGTAGTTGCAAAAAGAGGTTTATATGGAACTAATGGAAGGTAGCATTGTTCTTTCTGTCATTGTTTTTGTCAGTTAATAGTGGAACTTTAGGCTTTTTGGCTCGATTAATTATTTCTTCCCTTTTATCAAGGCTGTAGCGTTGATACCGTGTCATTCAGCTTTTAATATACGAAGTAATTATTTTCCATTTTCAGTAAAAGAAATTTTAAGAAAAAATCAGGCTTTCTTTTGAATTTGGATGTTTTAATTATAATATTTGTTGATCTGTTTCTTTCTGGAATTTCTTTTGATAGTTCTACATGCTACCCCCGTTTCTTTATTAATTTTTTTTAAA